ATGGGCCTGTGAAAATGGACACGCTAGGCTGGAACAAAAGCAGGGGACTGCCTTTGGCATCTCCCCCTGCTGTGGGGCAGGGCCACCGCTCACGTTCCTCCAGGAGCGAGGACCGCCTCTGCCAGAGGTGTCCCTTCATTGCCTCCGAGGCGTACCAGCTACACCAAACTTCCTATCGCCAAGCTTAAGTCTCCCATTCTGAAAATTAATCTGTTACATCTTTCCTCATCATTGGGACAGGAAAAAGGGTTTATTTTCATAAACACTCCGCATTTGGTGCCTGGGATGACATCATTGTCTCTTTTCTGGACTAAACAAGCTCTGTTCTTTCAAGCTTTCCTCAAAGGTCACATGTGGAAGGCCCAGATGTTTTCGCTTCTGGAAATTTCCAGTTTTAGTCCATCTTAAGCCTCACCGATGGTGGCGTGAGTGGATTTGCTATAGGTGCAATCTCAAGACAGCACTGGCTTGTCCTCCTAGAGCAAGAGTTGCCTTTTTTGGCAACGTATTTCTGAGCTGTGTTGAATTTGGCATTCTCAGAAGCACAAAGATCATCTTCTGCCGCATCATCCCCATCCAGTAAGGCCTTTTTCATTTGTGCGTTTGCTGCCTTCTTTAGGCGTACAATAACTGACTTTGCATGAGGCAAATAAGACAAGGGACAACGCTGTATCACCAAGAAGGGGACAGTTACTTGCACAGCAGAAGACCTCAGGCTCCCATCTGGCCTTTGCATCCTCCACCCCAAGGGCCAACAGTCCTTCTGCCTGTGGCAGCGTTGACATCCATCAAAGCCTCTTTATTCCTGCAAGACCATGGGAGGGATGTTGGTGAGGAGTTATGTTGGAGGGTAGAGGCGGTTGGGGATGATTCAATGCCTATTTTTCATCAGCCCCCTGCTTCCACATGACAGAAGGCAGATCCTTGGAAATATTTAATGGCAGAGGAAGAGGCTGCGCTGACAGTGTTCGAGTCCTTCCTTGTAGGGCGTACGGGTGCCCAGGAACCATCACTGCCCTTTTCCTTTCAACTCCCAGGTCACTGTGCCTGACCCAGCCAGAGGAAACAGGAGGAGAAAACTGGCTTCTGGCCAGAGTCAATACTGAGCTTGGCTACTTAGCAATCTGTTTGAAAGGAGGCTTTCGGGCAACAGGATAGCACCACGCAGCTGGAACATGCTGCATCAGCTGGCCACTGCACCAAGCCCTCGGTGCCACCCTTCCTGCTGCAGCCAGGCTGTCCCCTCAGTACCTTGGTCTGAGCAAACGGTCCCCTTGCAAGGCAGTGAGCAAACAGCGCTGCTGCTGCTCCTGCAGACTGTGGCACCGCTCAGCTCGACAGCGAAGGCATGGGAACGGAGATGTTGTTCACTACCTAAAAGTCATGGAAAACACGCTGGAGAGGAATCTTCATTTCAGAGCCATTCATCTTCCCTTCCCAGCTGGGACTAGACTATGCCACCAAGGCTTTCAGATGTGCATTTAAGCAGCTGCACTCTGGGAACAAGCACTGCTAATTTAAGCGCCTTCAGAAGGAGAGCAATCTTCTCCTGGCATCAGCTGCTTCTCCCCTCCTTTCTCCGCTATCTGCCTTTTGAAAGCAAAAAAGTTCACATATAGATAAGCACTTTAAAATAACAAGGTCTTAGGAAGAAACAAACCAGTCCGCACTGTTCTTACAGAAGTTTCCATGGAAGACAAACTGTGCTGTTGGTGAACGCTTTCACTCCCTGCCTGGACTCTGGGAGAAGGGCGAGAGGAGGGGATGCTCTCTGTGAGCAGCTTAACTTGCTGGGACACAGGATGCAGGATGGCAGCGGCTCTCTGCCCAGCTGCACACCCGGGCAACAAAGCCCCACAGGGCCAGACGACTCCTCGGGACTCTGGTGCTCCATTCTGAAGTTGGCTCCAAAACAGCTTACGACAGTTTGTGGAGTTCAGAAGCTGGCCAAACTATGAGGCCGAGAGCTTCAACACCTAGTCTGGGATGGGCAACACACCTTCACGTCCAGCAAGCCCAGACCATGCAATGACAGAACTGGAAAAGAGTAAAGCAGCTGCCTTTGCTTCTCTCTCCTGAGAGGAGGTTGGTTGGCAAGATGCCTTCTAAAAAAGCAGTACTGAACCCTGTTTTGAACCTCAAGGTCTACCTTTGCAAAGCCGTGCTAGTAAGGGAAGCTGCTCAGCAAGCCAGCTGAAAAACAGATGGTCTCTTCCAAATATTTAGTGACCAGAGAGAGACTTCTCCAAGCAGGATGCTTTCCTCTCTGAACTACTTATTCCCTCCTTACATGTCACAGGACAAACATATACTGGGATCTGCTTCCACTGTGGAAGAATCCTCACCGCCTCTGAGCAAACGCTCTGTAACAGGTATTTCTCCCACCAGAAGAGCTGCAGGGAATATTTGCCAATGCCCTGAACCAGGAGCACAAGCTCCCCACTCCAAAAAATGAAAAGCTGGCTGACGCCTAAGCTTTGCCGTTCTCTCATGCTCCACAGGTTTTCTATAGCAGAAAGGACCCAGTGATAAAGGCAGGCCTTACAGAGCAGCCATCGCCCAGCAGCCCGAGTCAAAGGGGCTCCAGGTCAGGTTTTTTCCTGTTGCTTTTCTTCTGCATAAACCTATTAAAGGACTGAAATTAGAAAGCTGCCAGTCTTCCTTTGTGTAAAGTTATTCCATGCAAAACACTAAGCCAGAAGCACATGCTCACTTGCTTAGCAAATGTCTGAAAGGGCTGCAAGAGTTACCTAGCCTTGGCCCCTCTCCCGAAATATCTGCTCCCGGGTGTTGTCCAGGACAGCAGAGTCTTTGCCTCGATGCAGCTGTGGAGTCCTCATCACATCTGTTCCTTTGGCTTTCCAGGGATGGCAGTGGCTCAGCTGTAGAGTGCCAACAAGGAGTTGACGGGGGCAGTATTATTTTGAAGCAGAGCTAAGTGAACCTGTGGTTAGGACCTAGGGAAACATGCAGAACTTTTGGAGGCGACCAAAGACATTCACTTGAGAAAACAGGGTCCCATCTCAGCTAAATAATGACCATATGCTTATTTAAATACCCCCTTCTCAAAGTGGCAAGGGCTTGTCATGAGCCACTCCTGAAACATGCTTCCAGGACCTGCAATCATCCTAGGAGATTATGAAGCTTCCATTGGGCAAGTGGAGCAAGCCCAAATGTGTGGAAATAGGTAATGGGACCTCTGGGAAGCACCAGCGTACACTGCTGCCCAGAAACAAAGGAAGCATGGAAACACTGGAAGCTTTGTTTGAAAGTAGGAAAGGCAAAGAGCTGTGCACACACGCTACAGAGTAGTGAGAGCAGTGGGGGAAAGGAAGACAGAAGGAAGGATTGTTTGGTAGGATTTTGGAGTTAGCAATTCTCTTTCTGCTTTTCTTCCTGGATCACGTTTCTTTGCATTACCAGCAGCGCAAACGAGGGAGTGAGTCTGCTGACTTGCCATTCAGCCTCACCCTGGCAAAAGCTGCTGCTTCTGCAGCCACTATTGTTGCTGTTCAGTACAGCGATTGCTTCTCAAAGCAGTACAAATCCACAGCTTAAGAAAACACTTACAGGAAGAAAAAAAACTAGCAGGGAAAGGAAAAGCAGTGGCAAGAACAAATACTCGTGCTTGAAATGAATGCACTGCCTGCTGGTAAGGAAGGTGGGGAGGAAGGGTTATGCAATAACCACGGAAAGTGCTCATGCACAGAAGCTGAGATTTTGGTGCAAGGTCCCAGCCTTTTGGCTTTGTCACAACAGGCTGAGCGTGTGATGAAGCAGGCCACGTTGTTTGGATGAAAGCACTTATCAGGCTCCAAGCAAAGTATGCTGGTTCAGCCAGTCCTGCCTTTAAGTAGCCAAAGGGAATGGCCTGTTGCTACCTCTTTTCCACAGACCCCAACTACAAGACAGGCAAGGCCGCCCAGCTGAGAGGAGCAATCGTTAAGCGGACTCTCACAGGGCTGATCTAACTAAAACCAGCCCCATGCACAGGGATACGAAAAGGCAAATTTCTCTGAAATCAAACAAAGCTAAGGAGGGGGGCAGCTGGCTACAAGCCTGGAAGGAGCTGGTCATCAAAAGGGCAGACATTCAAGGTAGCAACCTCAGCCAGGATTAACGCCTTCCTCGAAATCCTCACCAAAGAGTAAGACGAGCACTGAAACTAAACGTCTGGCAGCCAGGGTTTGTCTGGCCCATCTTGCTCAGATATTCCCAAAGCCCCCACCTTGCTCTGCCAAGGCAAACGCATAAAGCATCAAACAGGAAACCTTCCCTGTACTGCCGTTTCCGATGCGTCAGCTCCTGCTGCACAGCAAGAACGGGAGGCTTGGGTAGGACGTTGTAGACCACTGGCTGGCAGCACGCAGGAGCGGGCCAGAGCTCCCTACCTCTCCACATTGAGGTATCTTGCACAAGTTAAAGACATAAACAAACAAAACGAGAAAACCTTGTATCGCCTGCTGCTGCTCCCCAATAAACACTTTTTGGGTGAAACACATGTCTCTAAGCATCCATTTCTCAGGAGAGGGAGGCAGGGGATGAGCATCAAGCAGCTGCTACAAGGAACCCACTTTATAGCCCCTAAAAGCATGGAAGAAAGGTGCGATTGCTATATCACACGCAAACAATTTTGCTGCTTACATCCATGTTGCAGTAAGCCACAAGGCTGACCTTCATAGACACCTTGGGAGCAGCAGCTAAAAAGAGACTTCAAAATTACTAGGAAAGAACACGCAGAGTATGCAAAGGTGAACTCTTCTGACAGGGATGCATAAGGGAACACAACACATACCAGAGCAGCACAGGCACTTGCCTGCGGATATACCAGGCCCTCGGTTCAAATAAAGCAGCCACAGAGCTTTAGCTGTTTTAAGAGCTGTAGTTTCACCATTTACAGCAGCTGGATGCTTGTGTCACAGCAAAGACCCTTCTACATTAGTAACTCACAGCTCTACCAGCATCCGTTCTGCTTAAATACATAACCAGGTAGTTTGCCATTCCAGCTCAAATATCTTTATTTCTGCGCTGTTAGCGTCACCTGTCCTCATAGAGGACAGAGTGCAGGAGGTCAGTGAACTTTTCCAGCCAAGCTGTCAGTTACAGTTGGGGGCAAGTAGGAAGAATCAAGACCACAAGCAGTCATTTCCGTTATTTTTCCCAAAATCCCACAGTATGAAGGTGGTCTGAGGTGTCTTTGCTAAGCCAGAAAAAAGTTACAACTTCAAAAATCAAGACCAAGTGTTAACTTTCAGGACGAGAGGACTTCTTGGCAGCTAAGAGTCCACAGAAGGCTTAAGCGACTTCTCTTCACCACTGCTTTCTCAACCACGTGTAGAGACCTAACATAGTATATAAAGCTCTTCCTGCAGTCCACTCTCAACAGCACCTGTACTCTGGCCCCAGAAACGCACACTCTGAAACAATATCACACTCTGGACGTGGAGGGGAAAGGAAGAAAGGGCTTGAATTAAAAGAAAAAAGTGCTACTCGGAAGAGACTGACACAAAGGACATAAAAAGCAGGAGAAGCTATGAAAGTGTTGAGATGGCCAAGAAAAGTCACATCAAAATATATTTAAAAACCAGAAATTCCAATCTGTATGGAATTTAAAACTCCTTTCCCCACTTTGTTCTGCTCAAGGAGTCTTTTCATTGTTCCAGGACATTGAACACTATAGGCAGCACCAGTTATGCCCTGAAAAGGGTAGAATTTTTCCCAACTCGTCTGAGCACTTTCACTGTTTACAAAAAACCAAAAGTTATATATATACACACTTCAACAATTGCCCCACCCTCCCTCTTTTTCATTCTGCAATGGGCAGGAGAATAGACTTCAGACAAATCTGACTTGTCATTTTCAATTAAGTCCAGTTTTTCCAAACTAATATCCCTGCAATCCATTGTACACCTTCTGCACTGATCCTTGCTTCAATAACTGTTTGAGACCTGCAAAAGAAGAGAAAAAGAAAGAGTTACTGCACAGCACAAACAGAACTCTGCATTCCCTGTTCCCGCTACACCTACACATCTGACTTGTAGGCACTGACACTAGCATTTCAAGGTTCAGCCCAACACAGCTGAACAATGCCATTTAAAGCTCTGACACACCAAGAACTTTATTTAAAAAAAAAGCAGAGGTGCAACACCTTTACTCCTGCTCATTCAACACTCCCAAAAGAACAAATAGGATCTAGTCTAATAACGCTGTAACAATGCTTTCATATACACTCAGGACCACAGAGGACCAATGGATCCAGGCAGAAAAATCTTTTGTTACCAACTCAAACCCCAGTGCACCACACCAAGATCCACAGCGGGGTGACAGACGAAACTGACCCCCAGAGCCACTTCACTACTGAAGCTGAGCGCAATTTTGTCACCCTAAGTAAAACTAACAAGAAATAGCTTTTCATTATTTCCAGAGATTACTTCTCGTCTCGTGAAGCTTGTCCCCCATGCTCCCTCTGCAGTCAGGGAGAAATCTGCTAGCGCTAAGTTTAGCGGGGCTATGCGATGTTAGTGGGCAAATTCAGAAGGAATCGGTGTGAATGATTACAGAGCAGAGGCTTTCGTGCTGGTACGTGGTGCCTGTGGATGCTGTTGTCCGCTATAAGTAGACCCTGAAGCAAGTAAGAGAAGTAAATTTTAATCAGTGGACTTTAGCACACTATACAAGGCTGCAATTCTAAAGCCACTGCTTTACAGAAGAGTCTAGGAGATTACATCACCAGGCTGGATTCAGTCTTTACAAATACCAACCCCTCGCCAAAACAGAGAAAAACTCAGTCATAAAACATTTCAAAGGACTGAGTGTGCTGATGTCCTGTCAGCATCAACTTCTTATCAAAGCATGATAACATAAGAGAACAGAGAAGTGACTCAGCCCTGAAACCGTAACAGCTCACCTACCGGGGTCAGCATGTACAGGGAGAGATGGAGATACCTATACTTACGCTACTTAACTTTAAGGTCAAGGCTGCTCAAAGCTGGCCAAGGGAGGAGACTGGCAAGAACGTACGCACCACTCTGCTTTTCCAGAGAGATTCAGAGGGGACTCCCTCTTTAACGTCAGCCCGCAGGCACGCTGCCAGCACTCCCACAGCCACCAGGCCCCTCCGGGCACGGCAGCACCTCTGCTCTCAGCAACACCAGAAATGGAACTGACAGGCCCCGCTCAAGCACGACCAAGGCTGAGAGACAGCAAAACTCCACACGCAGGGAATTTTCAAGTTAAAAAATTAAGTCAAGTTGCTATAAATCTGCTGTTGGATATGCTCCAGCATCCACCTTGCGAGAATTAAGGATACTGGCAGTTGGCTTGCACCTCAACCTGACTTAGGGGCAAGAATATGCCTGTCTTCCAGAACGTGATCTCACGACTATCACAGTCCAGACTGCAGTAGTCCTATACTCCCTCCCACATGCTCCTGTCCTTCTCTCTGTGCAACCGAATCAGAACAGTTAAGGAAGCTAAGTACCTAAAAAACAAACCTTTTTTGTGCTGGTCATTTCTGGCTCCCTCACTTACATGCAGCAGTGAAGCAAAAGAAGGGTAAAACAAGTGACTGACAGGTGAGCAGAGGGGTTGCAGAGAAGACGGGATCGGGATCAGCATCCTGCCTCAGATCAACTTGCTTTGCTGTGCAACTGAAACTAGATACCTGGGGAAGAGGGGCTGGATGCAGAACGTTTGTAGAGCAGATCACAGTAGGCTGCCAAGAAAAGGCAGCAATGGTTGTCATCTTTAAGCAAGGTGCGTAGGCAAGGAGAGGCAGGATCAGTAATAATAATAAAAACGGCATGAAAAAACAAACTTTCAAGCATACAAGTCCTCCTTCTTCAGGAGACCCAACTAAACGATAGCATGCCTCCCTCCAAACCTTGTCCTGCTTGTCTGCTCTCAGACTATTCTGGCTACAAACGCCACCGTCCTTTCAGACTGCTGTTTTGATATGCAAGTTAGGGACACAGTAACCCTGTTAAAACACCGGGAAACTGTCCTGGAAGTAAGGGCTGGAATCAAAACTGCTCTCGGCCAGAGAAATAGCGGCCACTGAACTATTTATGCCCCCTCTCACTTGCTCCTGCCCAGAGAATCTTTAATTATTCCCTGCTTCCTGAAACACCCTCAACAGGAGGGTAAAGTGCATCCCCCTACAGAAAAGGTGCTAATCTCTAAGGAAAGGTCATTCTCCAGGGGAGTGGAAGGTAAGTTCACTTCCCCTCCATAGCCAGAGGAGACTCAAAGCCGCTTCCTGGCTAATGTGTAAGAGGATGTGCCTTCTGGCTACAAAGCTCTTTGGAAGGAAGGGCATAGCTGCAGAAAGGTGCGCTCCTGCAGCCCCGAATAAAACAGGATCAGCAACGTTCCCATGCCTCGTTTCCCGCTAGCTAGTTCTAGGTAACTGCATGCTGGCCTGAAGGATAGCCTCGTGAACGCACAAGATATTTTGACACGTTTCTGGTGCCCCAACCCTAACTTTCCGGATTTGGTTCCGACAGCCAGGAATCCTGAGGTTTGGCGCTACCACACCTAACATGTTTACTAGAGCCAACTTGGAGATGTCTTTTCATGTCGCCAACAGATGACAGGTTACAAAACAGCCTGTGCAGCTCACTGCCTGCTGTTATTCTCTGAACACTCCAGAGTTAAAGCACAGGATTCAAAATTCCAAGTACAATAAACAGAGAAGAACTAGATAAGTCAAAGAAAAGAAAATCACCTCTGATCAGCAGGCAACAAGTTCCCTGATGTCACACCGACAGGAAAGAGAACACATTGTTTCTCTGACTCTAGAGCTACAGGCTGACTGGAGTGGTGCTCTCGGAGTCAGAGTTATCTCCCGACTGCCTCAGAAGCCATACATATGGTTATGAGATAAGAAATTGGGATCTGTGCCAACAATAAGAAAGAAGGATGTTTTGAATTCTGAGGCCTACAGTCTTCCCTTGAATGTGTACACTGAGCAGCTGCCATGCAACATGGCTAGAGCTATTCACTTAAACTCCTTAAACCCCTGGATGTTTGGAGATATTCTAACATACAAAAACATATCCGACATAAGCATATGCTTACCTAGTCACCCTTCCCTAGGATGGGTGGAATCACTTCAGGATTCAAGTGCTTCATACCCTCCTAAACAGGCTCAGACCAGTACTATCCTCTGCTTGTTCATGGGGTATTCATTCAGGCATCCTAGCAGTTTTAACAGTAAGATGCAGGCCTCTGTCACTGTTTTTTGCCCAGTCTCTTCACAGGCTGCCAAGAGCAACAGACGCATGAACGTCACGTGTAACTGAGAGGAGCTGCTTTACGAAGTCTGGAGAACGGCAGCAGAGCCTAGTAGCAGGAGACCTTGCACCAATGTGGTCACTGTGCTCAGCGGTTTTCACCGAGTACGATACTTGCTGACTGCGGCTAGCAGTGTGGACAAGTCTCCTCAAGCGGGGACAGGAGGAATTGTAAGGCTTTAAAAATTGGTATCTTGCACCACTAAGCCAACTACTGGTCTGGTGAGACAGTGCATAGGCGGACTAACAACACCTGCCTGCTATGACAGCCTATTCCAAACATGCAAAGCAGCGCTGCTTCCATTTTTGGCACTTAAGTCAAAGAGAAGCAAAACTGCTTGCCTCGCTTGCCTGTGATGGAGCTCTGGGCAAGCAGTTACACTTGCCAAGTTCTCAGTGCAAGCAGGAGAGCACTGGGGCCGAAACACAAAATGGGTTCACTCAAAGCGCGGCCCGGAGGCACAGACCTCGCAGCCTAAACAGCCACAGAACTAACTGTGGCAGAAAGATCCACAGATGATCAGGCAACCCTGAAGCTGCAGGTAATGCAGAAGTTCCCCTTATAACTGGGCTCAAAGCGGTAGTTAGCAGTGTTGCCCAGGCAGCAGTAACATGCTGTAGGACTGAGATAACTCCATCCATCCAGGGTTTGGCCTCCCTCTACAAACTTGAGGAGTCCAAGAGAGCTGCGCATTTGCTTCCTTCCACCAGTAAAACTGTCAGAATCCAGTAAACGGCACCCTCGGAACAAGAAAGTGTGATGGTCCTGGCCAGCTGGAAGAAGTTCTGGGGACAGACCAGGATTTTGTCCAGAAGAGCTGTACTAGCACACGCCAGGAACTCCTTTATCCCACAGCAGAGGACGGCTCCCTTGATGCCTACTTTGATGCCTTGAACACTTCAGTAGAACCTACTGTGGAAGCTACTGCAGTAGAGAGGAATTTCCAGCCCTGACTCAAAGCTGGAAACATAGGATATCCTAGAGCTGACAGGAGAGGAAGTCTACAGGGCTCATCCATCTGGGCGCTGAAGCTGGGTAGCAGATCTCCCCTACCGAACAGGTCTATGCATCTGCATTGCCTCCTTCTTCCTGGTAGGCAAACAAAATGCTTTGGGTAAAGGAGGATGCAGGGAGGAACAATCCTCCTTCTAATGCTGCACAGCTCTATTTATCCACAACAGCAAGGGCTGGAAAACAGCTTAGGATCTCATTATAGCAAAGGCAAAGCAGGTGGGGGCTAATCTCACTAAGTCCTTCAAGTCAGACAGATGGCCAGCTATGAAAGACCTGCAGGCTTGCCAAATACTACATCCCAGCAGTGACACATCCAACCTAATCTGGTTCCCTACAGCAGCCAAGATTGCTTGCGTCAAAAAAAAAAATAAAAGTGAAAGTTACTCACAGGGCACTGGGCCAACCGCATTACGTTGTACAATGGGTACAGGGACAGGAGAGCCCTTCCTGACCACTACAGGCCACTGGTTCAGTTATATCAGCTTATCAGCTTTGGTGAGAGATCTGGGCAGCCCACTGTCATAACAGTTTTAAAGTACACACCTTCCCGCTGTTCGTCTGTCAGCTGCTCTCTGGGGAACTCCACATCAAATGTCACTATTAGTGAACCTTTGATATTATTGTTATCAAAATTTGGAAGACCTTCTCCTTTCTTCCACAGCTTGGCCCCAGGTTTCGTAATTTTATCCCGAGCAACATGAACCTAGAGGCAAGAGAAATTTCAAAACATTATTACTATTCTGTACACATACCCCAGTACCCTAAACGATCTTTCCAACCCACTGAAAAGCTACACCTGATACTGACTCCTTGCCAAAGTCATCAATTTTCACAGGGGTCCAGGCAGTATTACTGCTAGGACACATGACAGCACTCAATCCCCAAGACAGTCCCCCAAAGCATGCAATAGCTGCTTTGACAGCCTGGAACCCGGACCTGCACTGTGCTCTCCTTTGTAAAAGGCACATTTTGTCTCTCTGAGACTTGCTCTGGCAGTTAGAGTCTGTAGCAGAGGGGACACTGAACACAACCAGCAGCTACAGACAGCCCTGAGCAAAGCAGCTCAGGCCACAAGAAACCTGAAGCTAAGGTTTTACACAGAGCAGGAAAGCAAACTGCTGCCTCACCTTGTGCCCATCCAAGTGGGCAATGTCCATTTCGAAGCCCGTAAGTGCCTCGACCAGCGAGATTGTTACATTTGTATACAAGTCATCCCCTCTTCTTTCAAAGACCGGATGCCTGCGAAAGACAGAAATTGGAACTTCTTTCCTCTAGGAAAAATGGGTCCTCCGGCTTCCCTCTCCCACCCCCACTCCCAACTCTATTTGGGAAAGAGTTCAAAGGATTCACACAAATCATAGAAAGGAAATGAAGAATGAATGAAATTCAGCATCAGTTTCCAGATTAAAATACATACTATTAATAACCTTTCTATTTCTAGTGAAATGGGTGGTAAGGCGTTGTCAAGAAGTGTGTGACTCACAATTACTCTTAATAGTATGTTTCCGTACAATAGAGATATAGTAAGTTTATGGAGAAAAGTTATTTCATGACTCATGCAGAAGCTAAAAATCTACTGCAGAGTTCAGGCCAAACAAAAAGTGAGTTATCTTTAAAGAATCAGTGGCGAGTCCAGCTACTGTAGCATACTCAGGGTTAAAGACTCTGCACAGCCCTTCCTCCAGCTCTGAGTGCCAGATCCCAGCTGCACCAACTCTGCTGAGGAATAAGCTACATGCTAGCAAAACAGGTAACATCAGCCAGAAAACTGCTTGTAAGCCTTGTTTAGACCACTTTGTCTGGTTATTATAACAAGGCAGGTTACTTACTTAAGAACTTTTATTCGGAAGCGCAAATCACCTGGCTCTCCATCCACATGGGGTTCACCTGTGAAATAAGAAAAGCTGCGCTAAAAGGAGCTAGATAGTAACAGCTGAAGAAAGAAACAGCCTCTTAGAACACCATACTGATCTGCCCTTCACATAAGTTACAAAAACATCAAGTTCATCCTTATACGGCTAAAGCCCTGCTGATATGTATTTCCTAACAAAGGACCTAGGATTTTCAGAGTATTGCCTCAATGAATCTGTATCTCTTTGCTCTTCTGAGAGCCCTGCCCATACATTAACGAGGCCTGTCCTTTACAGGTTAAAGGGTTTCATCTACTTGGACAGAGGAAACTCCCAAATACACTCAAGCCTAGAGCAGACGGTGGGTGGGTTTGCACACGTCTGTCCATCCATCTGTCCCCATCCTGGATTTCAGCAGCATGCATGAGATACAGCACCTAGTTCTGATCAATTCTCCAAAGCAGGGTTTGGACAGTTACTGCCCTGCAGACTAGCCTTCCATGATGGAAGCAGTGCAAGTAATCAAAGCTTAGCATGGCAGCGCCCACATACATACCTTCACCAATGAAGGGATACTCCATACCGTCCCTCACACCTGGCTCTATCTCCACTTCTAGCGTTCGCTCTTCGTTCACAAGCCTGTAAAGGGGAAGAGCAGGTAAACAGTTGTGCTGTGTTAGCAGCAGCAGGTGGTAGCACCTACTTATTTTACTGACGGAATGAGAACATCCTCTCCAAGTTAACACACATTCTCTCCTTCCTCGCATCAAAACTGGAGGGCAAGCAGTGCTGCCTAGTACAGAAGGCAAAGTTAATGGCCAGCATCTGGATACATGACTACAACACAGTATTCCCTGCCCAATTGTTCACAATTGGGAACTGTGGGCTTGTCCAACTTTGCTTCTGTTCATTCAGATTTAGTTGTGGAACTTATGCCAAGATGTGATTCTTCCCGAAATAAAGAACTGAAAGAGCAAATTGGGAAACACTTCGCTGATTAGAGCTGGCCACTCCTACTGTAAGGATAAAGACTGGCTTCTTTGAAATGAGAAACTTGCGGTAAGTGTTCCCAAACTACCCATGACTTACCAGTAGTGCAAGCACTTTGCCCCACCTAGTGGCAGGTTTTGATTAAACATTCATACTGCACTAAAGAGCATAAAACCTCATACTCACTTGACATTGGGACATTCATCACAAACAACTTCTTGAGTCATCTGGAAACGTCCAGGGCCCAACTGGGTGGTCCTCATCTCTTGCCGGCAATTGCATTTCCGTTTGCCAGGTGCCTGTCTTGCCACTGGCTTGTTTCTAACAACCTGTATGAAAGAAAGAGTGCTTCACACAAGCACACAGGCCAGTACTCCCGAGTCTTTAAAATGAGCTGGATTCCTCTAACAACAACATAATACGATACCTTATTTGATATCGGAACATAATTTGATTTTTTTGGGGGGCATCCTCTGCTGCCTCCACAGTAGCTGCACACGATCTTGCCAAGACACCCCTGATAAGGGTTTTCAGCTCATACTTCTTGTGAATCACACGTTATAACACCAAGATAACTTTCTGATATCTTTGACACTACAGTTGTTTTCTTTTCCTCTTTTTCCCCGCACATCTTTCTAAATAGGAGAGGTAATGCTAGGCTGAAACACCCGACACCTTTGATCACGACAGCTCCCTCATTCCAGTCTAGGAAAGTCATTTTGACCTGCCCAGTCTACCCAGACGCTCGTACAAACTCAAATCAACAAAAATACTGACATTTAGAAAGGCGGGGATTGCCAGCACCAGAAATACAACTTGCAAAAGAAAGAGCACCATCCATTTGCTAAGTATGTAGTCCAGAAAGTTGCATTTAAATATTTGGCCATATAAAGAGGACATTAAGACCCACAGCATGGTTTTACGAGACAGGCTGAAACCACAAGAATTAAGTTACCTGTTTGCAGCCTATGAACGGGCCTCAAATATCACCAAATCAAGAGGGAGACCAGTAACGTCTTTTTCAGCTGGACACAGAGGGAGTAGCTAAGCACTGGGAACTGACTGATAAATAATAACTATCATCACAAGAAGCATCTCTTCATAAGCAAATTTCAGGTATTAAAGATGAGTAAGTGTATTGTTTCTTCAGTTAAATGCTAGCAAATGCTGTCACAGCATCCTCCGCTCTCATTGCCAGGCACTTAGAAAACAAATATCTATTTTAGTTCCATTTTTTGCAGAACACGTGATTCCCATCAGTAGCCAGGCCAGCAATTCTCAAACTTAAGAACACCCCGGGGAGGCTAACAGACAAGCAAGCAAACGTACTTCCACAAAGTTTCCTGAATAAACCTCCTCCAGTGTAACTTCCAGGTCCACGATGATGTCGCTTCCTCGGGGAATGTTCCTGTCCTGTTGGCGAGGATTCCCTCCAAACATAAATCCAAAGTCCCCGAAAAAGCTACAGAGTAAAACACATCTGTTAGTTCAGAAAGAAATTCTAATCAAACAAGGCTTTGCTGAAGAAAGCTACCCAAGGCAGCAGCAACGGGCCACCTGGCAACCGCTTCTAGCCCTCTGTAAAATGGCCCACTTACAGTATATATATATACTGGAAATGCCGTAAATCCAGACACCTCTTCTTGCTCCTCCAGAACACAAGCTAATGCCTTCAAACTAAACAGTCATTTTGGAAGAGAATTCTCTACTTAAAGGAAACAAGGGCTGGACCGTGACTCGAATACTGGCATCTCAAGATCTGGCCGCTGTCACCAAAGGCTAACACTAGTAAGCTGGTTTTTTTGTGGAGTTTGAAGACTGAGGCAATATGGAAAAAAAAACAAAAAAAACCCCACCAACCCACAAACTCCACAGCAAGTCTGAATGCCTTGCTCAAAACAGACCAGCAAACAGTGGTGGTTCTCACCCAGAAGGATTACATGAGCAAAGCACCTTAATGAATTATTTTAGCAAATTTCTTCCTAGCAGGAACAAATGGACCTTAAGCAAACTAAGCAACATGTGAGTGCCTTCAGACTTTAATGACACAAACTCTGCAGTTGCTCTGTTGTAAAAGTCAGTACAGCGTTTCTTCGTAAAACAAAAAGGAACCCCAAAGCGTGCTCTTGGTCTGTGACAACAGGTTAGACATCAATCACATATCAGAGAACTCGAGAAAGATCCTACATGTTTAATGCAACACCTTACGCATTGCTCACATGAGCGCCTCAGCTTGCCAAGTGAGTAACAGCCACGCGCAGGGGAAGAGAACGCTGGCTCCTAGTCACTGCTCTTGGAGAAAGGACTAACGCGAGATACACAAATGAAAACAGCACAGGGAGATGTCCATTGTATGCGTACTTCTTCAAAACCCAGCTGCCACTTGATATCAGTGCCTCTCCCTCTCCCTCCTGGAGAGGTAAAGGGAGAAGATCAAAGACCTTAACATACAGTTAGAGCTCTGACTACACAATAGCCTAAAGGAACAAAGCCTCCTTACTGTGAGAAGATGTCTCCATGGGAACTCTGGTGCCCATCCTTCAATCCCTCTTCGCCATATGCATCATATTGCTTCCTCTTCTCCTCGTCCGACAGCACCTGGGCAAAGGGACAAGACACTCATCTACAGCTGAACCAGGTTATTTAAACAAGCCTTTGAGATGAACCTTGCCAGTTCTCTTAACTGAAGGACAAGCAGCAGCATGTAGCACATTACAGAAGTGTTGGCTAGAACTTGCTTGCTGAAGTGGACTGGAAAGTTAAATATTTAGTAGCTAAAACCTAGAATTAGCTTATTGGAACAGCAAAAGCAAAACACACAAAATACAAACAGTACAGAGTTTACCATAGTGACTTGAAAAAGAATCAAACGGGGATAATAATTCGAATCAGCCCTATGAAGCAGAACACTCCACAGAAAGCCATGTAATACTACTCTTGTTCTTCAGGCACATACAAAACGACTATTTCTTCAAAGAGTATTGTATAACTGTGAACAACGATGGCAAGTTTGCCCACCAAGCTGTACCTGCCAAATATGGTAACTCTGCGACAGCAAGAACGCTGGCCCTCGTTCCTAAAGGGGAGCAGAAGTCAGCAAGAAGTAACTTCAGTATTAAGACAGAATTAAGTACCCCAATGCAGGTACCGTTTCTCAGTATGTGGTCTTTGCTGTGCGCCCCGAGATGCGTAAGTTCCTGGATCAGATTTAGTCTTCCTTCCCTTTCCTCCCTGACTTGACCTGCTGATTATATTTTGGAAGACTAAAACTGTCAGGCCAGCTTCCAGAAAGCTGGCGAAGAGCAGAAACAAGGGAAGAAGCAACTCTGCTAGCTAAAGGGTGATGGTTTATGTAATGCATTAATACCTAAAGTTAAGAGAATATTACATTATCAAATTATCACAGAAACGAGAAAGTTCCTAACACATTTGATTCCCTACCATAACAATTATTTTCCCAACTTTAACATGCCTAGTAAAAGGCAAGCTCAAAACCTTTCATCTCACATGAGCCAAAATTTACTCACAGCCCATCTATACGTATAGACAGATTGTTCCTGTGCCAGTGCTTCCAGCTGAGGCAGCTTTCTTTCGTCCTTAACGTTTATGGTTTAGTGTGGGGTAAACAAAGAACTTGAACTTTCTGCCCTTGTTTTCCTCTGGTTAAGCGAGCTATGGCTTTTGTATGCTTTCCTCCAACAAAGTAAGTTCTCTCACCACACTGGCAGCTTCTCTGCCTTTGTCCTTTATTAGATGCAGCATCTGGGACTTGATACCATTTTGTAATAGGAGAAGGAGGAGGGATCGCACCAGGTACTAGCGCTTCCTAGGAAGCCCTCCTTGAAGGTGTAAGATGGGCTCAGTTCTTTCTCGTTCCTCTGAATCTTATGGAGAGGAAACCACAGCAGAGAGCCTATTGGCCATACGAGGCTTCACGCCTGGAGCTTGCTTCCCCGTGAACCCCACCTGTCCGGGAAGGCCCTCGGGAGGGCGTATTAAGGTTATCTCGAGCCATCTAGAGCACACGCGACTGCACCTTGCCTCTCACCCCTCCCTTTTGCAGCAGCTACAGCAGGCCTGGGGAGCATCCCGCTGGGCAGGGCGGCGGGGGGGCACCCGGGCTCACCTCGTAGGCAGCGCCCAGGTCCTGGAACTTCTCCTGCGCCCGGGGGTCGTCGGGGTTCCTGTCGGGATGCAGCTGCAGCGCCAGTTTCCGGTAGGCCTTCTTGATGTCCTTGATGGAGGCGCCGCGGGACACCCCCAGGATCTTGTAGAAGTCCCTCCTGGTGGGGGCGGGGGGGACCCGTCAGCGCC